CCAGTTCAACATCCTGACCTCCTCTGCCGACAAGGCTGAATGCTTTGCTCAGAAATTTTCATTCAACTCAACGCTCAACTCTTCCGGTGTACCCATACCTGACTTCCCTCTTAGAACTGAGGCCCTATTGAGTGGGTTACACATAACCCCGTCTTTGGTATTGGGCATTATATCCAATTTAGACCCCAACAAGGCTAGTGGTGGAGATGGGATATCAACCATTGTCTTGAAGAAATGTGCGCCCGCTCTCTCTAAACTATATAACTACTGCCTCAAGGAATCTTGTTTTCCTGACTGCTGAAAGTCCTCTTCGATTGTTCCTGTCTTCAAGAACTCTGGCGACCCCTCTGACTACCATCCTATTAGTCTCCTACCCCACTTCGGCAAAGTCTTCAAAGCCCTAATCAAAACCAAAGTGGTTAACCACCTTATATCCCATGATCTGCTCTCAGACAAGCAATATGGCTTCCGCTTTGCCCGATCTACAGCTGATGTGCTTACGGCCATCACTGAAACTGTCTACCAAGCTCTCCAAAATAATGGAGTAGCTCGTGCCGTGGCCCTAGACATCTCCAAAACGTTTGATAGGGTTTGGCATGCTGGCCTTCTTCGCAAGCTCCAGGGTTATGGCATTACGGGTCGATCGTTTGACCTAATACAATCATTCCTGTCCAACCATGAATTGAAGGTCGTTCTCAACAGATTCTCTTCCAGTTCCTATTCCACGAACGCAGGTGTTCCCCAAGGCTCCATCCTTGGCCCCACTCTATTCCTTATCTACATAAATGACCTTCCCGACGCCATAAATTCCCAAGTTGACATCTACTTTACTCCTGCCTCAAAAACAAATCTAGTGTCGCTGACAAAACTAACCTGGCCATGCGTCTCGAAAAGGACCTCCAATCAGTTGTGAACTGGGGCAGGAATTGGCCGGTCAACTTTAATGCCTCAAAAACAAAACTGCTCTCTATTAATCACCACAGATATCCTTCACTGACCTCCATTAGAATGTCTGACGCTCAACTTCTCGAGAGCAACTCTCTGCAGCTGCTCGGTCTCATGTTGACTGCTAACCTGAGATGGAACAAATACATTGAGTCAATTGCTTCATCCACCACAAGGAAAGTTGGTTCCCTGTGCTGCGCCAGGTAATTTTTCTCCCCGGAATCAATCCTCCAGATCTACAAGTCAAGAATTTGCCCTTGCATGGAGTATTGCTGCTATATAGGGTCTGGTGCACCTTCTGTTTGCCTCGGGGTTCTTGATAGGCTCCAGAGGCAGATATGCAATATAACTGGCCTTGTTCTGGCATCTTGTCTACAGTCGCTCTCTCACAGACGTGCCGTTGCATCTCTCTGTCTTTCTTACAAATATTTTCATGGCTATTGCTCCGGGGAGCTGCATTCGCTGGTTCCCAGACTTTGTAAGTTCAAGCGCCCTACGAGGCTGGCATCCCGCTCTCACCCTTTCACTGTCGAAACTACTAAATGTAGCCATCTCTTCTACTCCAATAGCTTCATGTCTTGCACCTCTCGCCTGTGGAACTCCCTTTCCCTATTCCAGTTTTCCTGAGAGCTATAATCTCCAGCTATTCAAATGTAATGTCAATCGACATCTCCAGTTGCCTTGATCTATCCACTATTCTTCTCCTCATCCTTTCCTCTATCACTCCTATCTGATCTTGCTCCAAATTTTCTGTAACCCCTTGTGTTCTAGTGGCTTCTCGCCTTGCTTGGGGCGAAATGCTTAAAAAAAAAAAGCTGCGACACTGTTTTTGCTTCCACATCTCGTATATACAAGTCTGTTGTTGCTTTGAAATTTTTCATGCAACAAAAACAAACTATCATTATTGTTTCATACGTGTGTTGTTTGATATATTGAAATATAACTGTCATTTTAGATAATGGCTTATGTAAGCCGAAAGTTTAGATTGGATTTAAACATGTATCAATATGGTGATTTCCTTTTGTCTTTCAATGATAATGTTATTAAGCTCATCAGACAATATGAAAGGAACTTACTTAAAATAAATAGACAAAACTTGTCTCTATAATTTAATGAAACATGCATCAAAAATATATATATATATATATATATATACATACATACATACATACTTTCCCACATCATGTAAAAAAAAAAAAAAAAAAAAAAAAGAGGACTTTTTTGGTTACCGTGTATCTCCTAATTTCTTTTTTTTTGTTGTTTATTTTTTTAAAGAAGGGAGAGTAAAAACCAAAAACTGATACAATTTTTTTAAAGAACCCTTTTATTTTCAGTAATTCTATATCAAAAGTAAAGGTGGAATTGTGCAATGGGCACTGTGAAAAGATGATTATTTCTAGTCAAAGTTTTTTTTTTATATTCTTATAGAATCCCATCAGGTCACATAATAACAATAATGGTACTTCAGGGTTATCTATTGCCACTTTTTAAAATGCATTTCTTATGGGTTATCTGTCATCACCTTTTTTATGCATTGAGAATCTTTTTTAAAATTATGTACATGGTATTTAAAATGTTTTTTAATTAACTGTGAATCTTTGGGATTATTTTTTTTTTTTTTTACACTTAACACAAAAAGTGTCGCCAGATAACTCACAAGTGCGATTAGTAGCATAATTAACAAGTTGCGAGGGGGGGGGGGTCTAGTTTGCAATGTTGTAAATGTAAATTCATTGTAAGTTGGTCCTACGGAAACCAAAACAAATATGCTCATAACACGTGATTTCTTTAATAAAGTATTTTTTTTTTTTGCGAAATCCTTAATCTGGAGTGTTTAATCGACAAAACTATACGAAAAAAAAAAAAAAAAATCCAGATTACGAATTTCGCCAAAAAAATTATTTTTAAACTTTTAAAAGAAATCACTTGATTTGAGGTTGAGCATATTTTTTTGTTTTAGTTTTACGACTTTCGTACGTCGTGGGATGAATTTTCATAACAAACTAACAGTAACAAATAAATGTCTACTATCAACTTTTATAGAATAATTAACAAAGAATATAAAGATCGATATTTATAATCTGAAGTGCTTATGGTAATAGGGGGGTGGAGGGGGTTATGGTCGCAGTACCTAACTGTACCAAGAAATAAGTTAGTCTGCAATTTTTTTCAGCTTGTTTTTCTTGTCATTACAAAATTTTAAAAAACAAAGTGAAAATAGATTTTCGTTAAAAAAACTTAATGATAATTTCTGAAAAAACATGACCCCCCCCACCTTTTAAAACAATTTAAAAAAAAAAAAAGAAAAAGTTTTTTTTTTTATTTTTCTATTGATACGTGTTTAATTTAGTAGTTCAAATGTTTTTTAAACTAATAAAAAGAATATAGTGAAACCCGGATATAAGAGAGATTTTCTCTGGTCCCAAATTAGAGCCTGTGTTATGTATAAAAATAAAATAGACCAAACCCGGATATAAGAGACTTCTTCTCCGGTCCCGCCAACTCTCTTATATCCGGGTTACACTGTACCACAAAAAATATTTCCAAACGTTTTTTTTTTTTTCATCCCTATTTTTTTTTTTTAACGAGTGAAGAATTAGTAGTATTTATGTAGGGCAACAAAAAAAAAAATAATAATAATTACTAGGTAATTATTGACTTTTTTTTTTTTTGCAAATTTAACCAGGGACAAAAAACAAACAAAAAAAAAAAAACAATTTTTTTTTGCATTTACAAGTCAGATAAGAAAGGAAACCCCGCCAAAAAAAAAAAAAAAAAAAATGAAAGTGAGTAAAGAAAGAAAGCAGGTCACAAGATACGCTTCTTAATTCTTCAGCACAAACACTAAAATCAGTTTTGTATCACTTATCACATTTTACGACATTATCAAGAAAGAAAACACATCCCAAATGATAATGTTGATGGCCATGTGACAATCTTTTTAAGGTAAAAAAAACCTTCAGAAGCTAAAAAGCAAAACAAAAAAGTCACTAAACACACATCCCAGTTATTTTTTTCTAATTCACTAGCAATTACTGATTACGGTTAATATTTTAGAAGAAAATAAAAAAATCTGTAACCAAGTAATTTTCTTGTAAGTATTTAAAATTCATATCCGTACTAAAAAGGAATTTTTACGATATCAAAATATATATCCTAGAAACAAAGACAGACACTAATTTTTTTAAATTAAACCATGCTGTCATCAATTGTTTTGTACGAAAGATAAATAGTAAACAAAGTCTGAGAATTTACATTTTTTAGTAATGTTTTTTTTATGTCATAATGCCGCTGTCAACATTTTCAAATAAGGCATATCGCAATATGAGATACAGTAAATAAATTACCTTAAAGCTAAAAAAAGCGCGAATTTTCATCCATGTCTTGCTTGTTTTATTAAAAATGCAAGCTTCATGAAAATGCATTTTCTTTTTAGTCTTTAACTAATTAAAACAAATTAGAATACGATTGCAATGAAAACTGAGTTTATGAAGGATTCGATTATATTTAAATTAAAAAAATCAATCAAAAATTGTTTATAAATCGGATCTGAAATAAAGATTTTGTGCAAAAAACATAGAAAATCATCAACAGGTCTGGGCTGACTTGGATCAAAAAAACCTAACATAACATGTTTGTTGATGTTATTTAAAATAATAATAATAATAATAATTAACCTTAGCTTTAAATTTCATGAATTTAAAAAAAAAATGTTTTTTAACGTTTTAAAATCGTTAAAAAATTAACAAAAACAGATCACGTTTAAAAATTAAAAATCATTTTACATGCTGCGGAATCCTCGTCTGACATATGAAGACTTAAAATTGAGAAATTTAATTTTAATGTTATTTACATGTAAAATATAAATAAACAATTTGAGTTGAGAGGTGGGGAGTCAAAGAAAATTAATTGTTTTTTTTTTCATCAATAAATCAAGAAACAAACAAAAACATTCAAAAATTAAAACAGCAGAAAAATAAATTTACATTTCACAAAACATAATAAAAAAAAAAAAAGTAGTAAAACTATTATCATAATTTTAGTCATGTACTTACTAGTGTAAAGAAATGCAAACCATTTCTGGTTTGGAGATGAAATGCTAAAATAAATAAGGAAGAAACGACACGTTTCTTCTTCTTTTCTTTAAAATCTTCAAGTGACGACAACTGCTGTCTACATAAAATGGAATTGCGATGTCCAAAAAGGACATTTAGGCGAATTTCATGCCATAACATAGGAAATTAAGCAAATAATGGGGTTGCGTCTCAGGCTGGAAGAATGAAAAAAAAAGAAAAAAATGGTAAACCAGTTTTGCTAAGTTTCTGTTGTTTGTTTTTAATGCTTTTGTATGTATGCTTTGTTTTTTTTTAGGGGGTGTTTTTGTTTCTTTTTTTTAGTTCCATGCGACAACAATCGACATTTTCATTCCCGGTCCAGAGTTTGTTTTGAATTATTGCTGCGCATGCCTCGTTTAGCAACGGTGTCAAACGAAAAAAGTTCCTACTATAAAAAGATGACACAAGCTTCTTGAGATTGACAGTTTGTTTTCTTTTTTCTGTCCTTGTGTTATTTTTTGCTCTTTCTATTGTTTTATTTAATGCTATTTTCGTTGCTTTTTCGTTGCTTTTTAATTCTATTTTCATTGCTTTTTTATCGTTTTCACATTCTATGACCTTTAAGTAAGGAGTTACAATACATGAAATGAAAATAAATATAAGATCAGAATTATTGAGAGACTATTGGGCCTTAAAACTTACACCTGACTCTCAAGTGGAACTCATACATACGATCTATCGCTAAAGATGCAAGAAGAATGGTCGGCTCACTGTGATGCTCCAATAAATACCTGACTACTCCTGCTATCCTCTACCTTTAAAAGAGCCAAATCAAGTCTAAAATGGAGTACTGTTGTCATATTTTTAGGCAGGAGCTGCCCAGTCCTCACTTTCCAGTATTGATAGAATCCAAAAGCGTCTCCTAGGCTTTGTGGGGGACAAAGTAGATGTGGCAAGCCTCTCATTGCTCTATTGCTTCTTCCATGGAAAGTGATCAGGTAAACTACATTCCTTGGTTATACCAGTTCTAACCTTCATGATTAGAACCCACCATGCCACTCACATTGTAGCAAACCACCCACATTCCCTCCATATTCCATTGGTGAGAAGTAAGTCCCACTCAAATATCTGGATTCCCATGAACCACTGGTCTGTGGAACTATAAGATCAAGATCCTAAATCACAGGCTCCAAATTTAATAATACAATAGTCTATTCTGATTGGCTGAAAAATATCAATTAGGCTGTGGAATCTTCCACATCAGCCAGTTCACCCCTGCTAGGAAATGCACTATTCCTGTTGTAATTTTCACCATCACAATCTTACAAAATATATAACAAGCATTCATTGGTTAATCACCTTCAATCTAGCTTGCTGATTGGTCAGTTCCAACCAATCAAACTGCCTGCACGCGACAAATCTGTTTTTCCTGCGTTTTTGTTCTGAGCCTCCCACGTGGTACTACGAAATTATAATAATAAAACACGTGTAAACTCTCTCTCTCTCTCTCTCGCGCATCTCATTCCTTGCTGCCAAGATGTAATCTTCAAGAACTCCCGTCTTAACTAATGCAGTCAGACGTTAAAGACCATTATCAACATTGTTACGTTTTGAAACAATATGTTTATGAATAATTATTCTATGTCTTGTGTTAATTGTTGTGGATGGAAGATTATTGAATACGCACAATTTTAAGCCTTCTGATAATTCAAACCTTCTATTCCTCTCCAACACACATCACACATCCACAACATGTTGTCAACTATGTCCGAATGTACCAACCTAGTTTGTGACCCGAACAAAAACACTATTGCACCAAAGCAATTTGGAGCGTACCATGTTGTAGAGGACTGTGTAGGTTTGAGTGTTGTTGAATTATTGTTACCCATGCTGTTTATTCCTGCTAGAAGGTTCGCTAACAGAACATGCCGAACTCAAGTCCAAACAAAGATATAAAGAAAACAAACAAGACATATATATATATATGTCAACAAATATATGTATTAAACAACAATTTTACAAGTGTCAAAGACATCAACATTTGTGTTTGTGTGTGACCGTAAAGAGTTTGTATTTTGGTGAATGTTCATACGTATGCGTATGTGTGTTTAATGGCGTTTTCCCACAAGTGGGCAAAATGCGAATTTCTACGAGAGATTACATTTTTAAAATGTGTCTGCTGAAATGCAAAGTAGAAAAGAGAGCAAGGTAAGAAATCACTCAGTGTTTATAGTGTAGGGAGAGCGACCCCTAGTGAACAATTAGGGAATTAAGGAGGAGCTAACTCCGACAACATGACCCAAGTTAGCAATAAATATGAAATGTCATTCATCCTCGCCTGTGAGCCAAACAGAATTTTTTAGCTAGTCACACGAATCTGTGTCACACAATTCCAGACTTTATATTAAAGTTTCTTTAACATAATTTCAGTATGAAAAGAACACTCACTCACATAGCAATATTTTATCACGAACAAACAACTCAAGTTTTCCACATTCAACTTGATACACGAATCTTTGTCATACGCTTTCAAGCTCAACGTTAATTATTGCAATTAACATAAATACAGCTTGTTAAGAATCACATACTCCAACTACAGAATATTCTCTTTCTAGCATCCTGCTACCACTTCCTTATCAATGTATAATTTTGTATATTTTTGTGCAAAAAAAGTGGATCAGAGAGCCCGCTCGGCTTGGTAAATATTTTCAGGAGATATCAGCTTCTAATTGGTCAATAGACACACAAGTGTGCATTGCAATCCACCCACATACAAATATTTTTTCCAGAGTGTGACAAAGTCAAGTTTCACCCCCATTTGCTGTGATCCTGTCACGTGATTATATTATCTATAAATAGCAGACACGAGTTCACTCATTCTCTTTTACTCTTCTAAATTCCTGCGAAGATGTGATCTTGAGGATTCTCATCTAGACCATGGGTGGTCAGATGTCAAAAGCATATTCACGCATGCACGTACGTACAAACTTTTCCAACCTACATTACAAATATACAGAATAGTTCCAAACATGCAACAAGAACTTTTCTCTTTGAAATATTCCTCTAAAACTACAGTTTATTCAGCATTTCTCAGCTTTATAATTAATTCAAATTTTGTGAGTTCAGATAAAAATATTTCACATCTAAGAGACATAACTCCAACAGATCTTTAACTTCTACATATGTACATCAACTGACAAATAAATACAAATGTTATGTTTTTAAAACCATTTTGTTCCTTTCCTGTATTTCATGTTTTGTGGTAATTTTACATTTAATATAAATTGTGCGGCCATGTTATTCACGCAGCCATAAACAAACATCTAAAATTGTCCATTCTTATTACCAAGTCACTACATTATGGTAACTCTGACGTCTGAAACGGAGCAAGAGAAACATCTAGACCACTACATCTTCAAACAACACAAGTGGAAACACAGTCAAAGAGCGACAACTTTGTAAACATTAAAGTAAGTCATGAATAATACTTCTACTTTAGTACAAAATTGAACTATTTATTTTTCCTTAAATTACAATAATACTCAAGCAAGCATATTTTCTTCTTTAAAGCACAAACTGTTCAACAACTTACAATCTTCCAAATCAGAACTTTGATAACACTTCACATCGAACCAACAAAATCTTTCTAACCCAAACTTAGTTAACACTTCAATCCAAACATAAAAAGACATTTTAACTTTTTAAAATACCTTTCAATTGTTTGTACCTCTGGTTATATAAATATTTTATTCATTGTTGCGCAAAATCTATTGTTTGTTGTTATTCAATTATTTTGTTGCATTTGCAATAATATAAATGCAATAGGATTATTAGACCCCTATGTGTCAGTAACACCTGCAGAACTGGCTTCCAAGAGGATGTTTCCCCAATCACTAGAATCTTAAACTCTATAGGTTTAGGGTTAACCGTTATCTTCCTCTCCTATCTGCATAAACTGTGCCTCTTACTCTGTAACCCTCTACTACACGTTGTTCAGAGTAAACATTTCAGTAAAAAATAAAAATATGTCCCCTTTCTTGAGTAAACATTTCAGTAAAAAATTAAAAAATATGTCCCCTTTCTTGAGTAAACATTTCAGTAAAAAAATAAAAAATATGTCCCTTTCTTGAGTAAACATTTCAGTAAAAAATAAAAAAAAATATGTCCCCTTTCTTGAGTAAACATTTCAGTAAAAAATTAAAAAATATGTCCCCTTTCTTGAGTAAACATTTCAGTAAAAAATAAAAAAATATGTCCCCTTTCTTGAGTAAACATTTCAGTAAAAAATAAAAAAATATGTCCCCTTTCTTGAGTAAACATTTCAGTAAAAAATAAAAAAATATGTCCCCTTTCTTGAGTAAACATTTCAGTAAAAAATAAAAAAATATGTCCCCTTTCTTTAATTAGCATAAAGGAATGAACAAAAAAATAAATAAATAAAATAAAAAGACAAGTTTAAGGCAAAATGGAAAGAAATAAAGCTTGGAAGATTATGCTTCACCTACCTTTCAAATGGGAAGAATTTCTGCCTTGAAAATAAGCATTATTCAAAAAATTGGAATTTTTACTCAGGCTTGAAAACAGCAAGACAAAGCAGTAATCGCTGATCTACAAGGGGTGGTAGTCCAGATTCCACTTTTAGGCAAGGGATGATTAAATCATGCTAAAGAAGTTTTATATATATCTTAAGTTATATCTGAACTTGTAAAAGTTCAGATATAACTTAAGATATATATAAAACTTCTTTACCATAATTTAACCCTAGACATAAACAGGTTAAGATTGCAATGATCAGGGAAACATCCTCTTACAAATAGCATGTGCCTGATTGATATATATATATATATATATATATATATATATATGTGCTATATATATATATATATATATATATATATATATATATATAAAAAAGGCTTAAACACTAATACTGGAATATTTTATTCAAAAAATATATATGTATGTGTATGCATGTATCTATATATATTTATATATTTTGCATATGTATGTGTATATTTACCACTAATATTATCTATCTACATATATATATATATATGTGTGTGTGTGTGAGCTTGTAACTCACACACAGACATATATATATGCTATCTGTAAGAGGATGTTTCCCTGATCATTGCAATCTTAACCTGTATGTCTAGGGTTAACCATTATCTATCTTCCTC